GTCAAAAGACGACATAATGACGTCTATTTTTGGTCTATAATGTCGGCGACTAATAATTGACGTTTAAAAGACCTCATTTCTTAGACTAGCCAAAGACGTAATTTTGAAAACGTCCTATGATCGCCCAAATAAAGTCCTTTTGTAACTAATATTGGGATTATAGTTCATTTGCTTACCGCTATACGGCGCGCTATTCACTATCTATACCCGTATTCAAATTCTTGTCATGAGCGTATATAAAGCCTGCAAAATGCGGCTAATAACATTGTAATTATTTTTATCAGTTCAATTTCTGATACGATTCCCGTACCAGGAAATTCAGATATTGAACTGATTTTTGGAAAATCGGACAGATAATATCCGATTTTAATTTATTCGGACAATTTCTATCCGAATAAGTAAAAATTGTTTGTTATTATCTGCTTAAAATATAAAACAGAAATTAACTTCCATATAAATAAAATCTTTAATTTTATAAATTAAATTATTTAAATTTACCTATAATATATATCACATTAATATGTGTTATATTATTACTGTAATTGGTCTTAGTTTTGCCGTCAAACAAACGTCAGAAAATGACGTCTCGTGGATGTGACATATCGACGAGACATTTTCGGGTCTCATGAGATCTAACTTAGGATGTCTAATTGGTCATCTTGTGACCAAAATTTACTGTCATTGTGACGTCAGTTTGCTACTTGGGTGGACTATTACATGACTGTAACAATCATATAACATTTTAGTAACATGTTATATTCATGTTATATAACTGCAATTTTGTATGAGTGGGAAATTACAACTAACGTGAATGTTACATGTAACAAATACGTTATATTACTTGTTACATTCCGTTTTATTATGGCAATGTTACAGTTATGTATCTGTGTTTGCTGGGTATAGAGTATAATATTTTACAAATTCTTCATATTTACATATTTATTACTGATAAATTTTAATTTTATTATTTATTATATAGGTTTATGTGTGTGTATGGACCAATTCGATTCTCATCAATAATTTCCTTCAAACAATCTATTTTCGCAATATTTGGAATTTGATAGAAGAAGAAGATGGAAAAATAATATTAGTGGAAAGATTTGCTATTGGATTATCATTGAAGCCATCATATAAATATCATAAATTCGAAGATGGAATGCGTGCTCTTCAACAAATATGCGATTCGATGGAAGCTTAGTGATATCTTTTAAATCAGTTTAATTATTAATAATAGTTTTTATTTTTTTCATTTTTGTTGCTTAGAAAAAATAATATAAAAGAGAAATAAAAATGTTCTAAGACTGATTATAGGGTATCCTGGAAAAGGTGGGCAATCTCTCGTAGGCATAGAATAGGTAAAAATAATTCCATAAGTTCTTATAAATTTTTTCTTACAATATATCTCTGTCAAAATATTGGTCTTTAAATCTAAGAGTAGAAAAACATTTTTTAAATAACTTTTATACTATTTGTAGATTTTGATAATTTGTAACAATTATTTTCATATTAAATAAAAGAGCCTTCAAAATAATGTGACAGATTTTTATCGCTCAATTAGAGACGAACTATCCTTAATTATTTTAACCTACAGCGTGTACAGACATTTCTCAAAAATTTCAAAATTTTATAAAAAATAAACCCTTTCACCGATACTCACCAAATTCAGTACCAACCATCCTTTAATAATACTCTATTCATGTAAAAAAATTTAATCCGATATCTCAAATTTTCTGAAAGTTACAGCGTGTACAGACATTTCTCAAAAAATTCAAAATTTTATAAAAGATAAACCCTTTCACCGATACTCACCAAATGCAGTAGCAATCATTCATACATACATACATACATACATACATACATACATACAGACATTTTTTAGGAATATGACTTTTCGACGTTTTGGAACATTCTAAACACATTGGCACAGAAAACTCGAAAAAAAATTTTGTCACGAAAACAAAGCGTCCTCTATGAGGAAGCAAAAAGATAGAATTTTTAGCTGTACCATTAAAACTTCATTGAAAAATTATTGCTATCAAATCAGCCATATGACTGATCATCGCGTTTTTTTATTTTTTTCGAAAGTTTTATTCAACAGAATCCAAGAATAAATTTTAAATTATATTTTAAGAGATGAAGTTATCTTTCCTATTTTTCTAATATTGCTATATTAATAAAAATTTGATAATTCTAGGTGGAACTAACGAGTCACAATGGGAAGACGTTACGGGTTCCACACCATTAACTTTTATGAACGATAGGGTGTCGTTTACCACTACCGTTTCTGCCAGGTTTTGGTTGATGGATTGCAGAAATATCGGCGCGGTGCCGAAAATGGCAACGGAATTATATATGGAATCCTTACACGTGCCGTATATAACGAAGTAAGCGACTTTTCGTAACATGAGTCGTAATAGCGATCATTTAATTTTCATAGTAAAGTAAAAAAAATGCTTTTTTTACGCAGTTTCATAATTTATTCGAAGAGGATGGACGTGTTGGAAGCCACATTGAGGATATTGTGCATGACGGACGGCAAGGAAGGTATGCACACTTTAGAAAGGCAAGAGGAATTCACAGAAATCGTTAAGAGTCGCGATGTTGAGGTATTTTTATAATATAACATAGCAATTGTCAAACTATTTCAATTACAAATATCTTTAAGCGACATTAATTTAATGTACAGAAAAATAATATATAATTTTTATCAGATTTAAGCTCGGAGGATAATTCATTTGCAGATGTTCATAGGAAAAAAAGTCTTATTTTGAACTCTAGAATATGCTCCTAAAGTTTAATGCATCATTTCAGATACATCTTGTATATATTAGATATACATATACAGGGTGTCCGACAAATAAGTGACCAACTAAAAGATAAGGATAAATTGGGTCAAACTGAGTCGAAAAATCCTGAACCATTTTTTCTTATATCGCTTAATAAAGGAGTTATTATTGAGTAAAGTCTGGCCAATCAGCGGCACTTTTAGCCGGGCGCACGTTGGTAAGCCATGCGCCTGGTAGTGTGTATAAGCGTTCCGCCGCTACGGCAGCGCACACTACCAGGCGTCAGAGAGAATCAAGGGAGAGTGAAGCGGATCTGTTCTCTATTCTGATTGGTTCCGCCATTTATAGGTTAAAACTCATATGTATACGAGGGCTGTATGATAAGTGCCCGTGTTAGGAAAGGAAACACATTTAAAAAAAAAAATTTTTTATCTATTTCTCAACAGAGTCTCTTTCAGCTCGATACACTTAGTCCAGCGATATTCCAACTTTTTTAAGCCATCCAAAAAATATGATTTGTCGAACTCAGCAAATCGGGCGCTCTTCATCAAGAATGGATGTTCGGCCACGCTTGAATTCATTGAACCAATATCTGATGGTAGTCATCGAAGGTGCATGGTCCTTATAAACGGCATGCAACTTCACTTTGATTTTCTCACACGTCTTCCCATCCAAAAAAAAAAAAATCGAATCACTGACCGATATTGCTCTTTTTCCATGGTTGCAAACAAACACAAACTTGCCCACTTTCAACAGCTATCAAAACAAAACTACTCGATAAATCTGTCTGAAATTTTGACAGACGTCGTTCGAAAGATGGCGTTAAACGATGGTATACAGATTTTGAGTCACAGGCGCTATGAGTCGTTAAACACGGGTACTTATCATACAGCCCTCGTATATATATCCACATACATATGTTGAAGTTGTGTGATGATATTGTGTGTGTGTGTGTCATAGATACCCCACACTTACCAAAATATTACCTGAAAATGGCGGACCTCCGCTATTTTCGGAGCATCCGCTTCACTCTCCCTTAATTCTCTCTGCCAGGCGTGCGGCTCACTAACGTGCGCCCGGCTAAAGGTCGGAGCTGATTGGCCAGACTTTTACTCAGTAATAACTCCTTTATTAAACGTTATAGAAAAAAATGATACAGGACTTTTCTTTTCAGTTTAACCCAATCTACTTCCACCTTTCGTTTGGTCACTTACTTATCGGACACCCTGTATAATATAATTATATTAAAATTTTTCCTTGTTTTTTAACAGTATTTTTTTTTCTTGTTACAAGATTACCGTTAAAGAATCACTAACTATAGTATGTCAATGCGTGTGAATTAATATCATTATTCTTGCAATATTTAATAGGCACTCGACGGAAAAGATCTTTATATCGAGTTTAGTGGAAATTTAGTGCCAGTAACAAAGTCCGGAGTGCAATTGAAATTCACATTCAAGGCTTTCCGACAGAATCGATTATCGTTCCATGTTAAAGTGAAGGATCCATTACTAGATCCGGTAGCGAGGATGTTATTTATGAGAGAGCCAAAAGTTGCTAAAGGAGAACCACCTCAGCAGCCTCTTTGTGTGTTAAATATTGTCCTTCCCGAAACTATTATTAAAGACGCGATGCAGAAGAAGTTAAAAGGTATGACCGTTGAATTCTCTATAATGCAAAAGAAAAATACGCGAAATCGCCTATTTTTCCCGCAAATATATGACAAAACAATTGCAAATAATAATACTAATTTTAATATAGCCATTTCAAAATTATTCATTTATTTCATTTTAAGATCAAATAATTTGTAACGACAATTAAGAGACTAATAAGACTCTCATATGAAATACAAAAGAGTAATTATTCTTGGTCCTATATTAAGTCTAAATAAATCTCAATTTGAGATTTAATTTTAATAAATCTCTCTTACCCTCTTGAAGAAGCGTAGAAAAATTCGTGCGCTGTGCACAATTAATTAGTGTTTCAGGGAAAAATTAATTTTTTTTCTGAAATTGACGCACTACTATCCTGTGTCATGGTTCTTATCAGCCTGCGAAATTTTAGAATTTGTAATAAATTAATAAATAACAAATTGTTGTTAATATATGACTACTTGAGTAAATATATTTTTAAAAATATCAGATATTTTAATATTATATTTTCCATTTGTTTTTTATAAAATATTTATTGATAGGAAAGTCAAGAATTTCTTTTTTTTATAATAAAATTAAGATTGAGATTTTTTTTTCTTCTCTCTCTTTCTCTCTCTCTCTCTTTATTTTTAATCGAAAATAAGTACAAGTACTTCTAGATGATTGGCGAAACTGGTGCATGTTTCACTGTTACTAATAATCTTTTTTTGTTATTGTTACAGGTTACGAAGATTCTAATATCATAAATCAAAAACTAGATTATTACAAATCAAAGTACAAAATGGAACAAATGGAAAAAACTGACAAGCCTAAAGAAACGTCGCCATCGGAAAAGAAATTCATAACTGATACGTTACAAAAGGAACAAACAGGTATGATATCAAAACCGTAGGAAATAGAAAAATAGGATTCTTTTCTCACAAAATACATATGCGAATATATCAATAAATAAATAATCTTTCCTATAAATAATCCGAGAAAATTGAGTTGTTCAATGTTGGAAATGTCCTGCAATGTCAAAATCAATTTTACTTATAACACTAAAAATGCAAGGTGCAAAAAGAGAACTTGCGTAATGAAGCATTAAATCTTGCCGAGGAATGTTTTGTTACGTCAAGATATTTTTATATCGTGTCCACCGAAAGGAATAAAGCGATATCTAAAGAAAGATCTGGCGACGTGAGTCGTTCGTGTGCAAGGAGGAGAGAAAAATGCTTTTTTTTACAAGGTCAAAGGAAAAGAAGATGATTGTCGAGTATCGTTTCGTCTCGAGACCTAAAAATGAAATAAAATTCGATTGTTATTCTATTTTCATTTAAGGGGAGAAAGATAATCGGCTTACGACTTAAGAGTTGGATGAGGCTTCTTTAACTTAATTAAACGTAACAGCATCATGCTCGAAACTACCGGTGGCGGACTTCTTTAGTTCAATTCGTGTTGACGAAGGGAATGGTGCAAATTTCATATCAGTCTTTCTTTCAAGCATTCACACGCAATTGTCAAAATGTGAGTCTTTTCAGTTTTGTTAATTATACGTTATGTTAATTATTTTATAATTATGTTAATTATTTTCTCAATTTTTCTCTTTATTTATCTCATTAAAATTGACGGAGAAACTGAGATAAATCTGCAATTTATAAAGTTTTAATATTTAATATATAAAGTTATATGTGTCTCTAAAATAGATCTTACAATTTACGAATCCTTTTTATTTTTGTCCTGAAAAATTTTCAGTTATATTTTTCTATTTGTCTTAAATAATTTATTTAAAACCTTATTTTGTGTTGATGTTAATTTCTCCTTTTTTACAATTTTCAGTTTCAGATATTTTTAAGTTCATTAGTAGTTTATGCTTACGGTCGACGCGTTAAAATCGTATAAGAAATCAAGCAGACATGGCGACGAAAATCGAAGAGCACGATCGCGCCACGACGAAGCAAGATAGTCAAGCGAACGAGAAGAATTGTTCCTCTGGGACGAAAATCAAACGTAAATCCAGATCCGCCAGAAGACGCCTGCACGCCATGATGAGCAATGCGTCGTTCCATTTCTCCGATACAGATTCCGAGGGCGAGCTGACACTGATCACTAACAAGGTGGGCAAGCTCAATCCCACGCAAACTTCGCAAATTGACAGTCAATGCTCTAGACCGTTAATCTCCGTCACCGGTGCGGAGGGCACCGAACCCTCCGAGACGAAGATCAAAGATAATCTCGATTACCTCATAGCGGACGGTGAGACCAGATCTCGATCGAGACGCGGTAGCTTCGCGGAGAATCTCACCGATGTCGATGAGATTTACAGCGATGAGAAGGAAACGGAAGCTGATGAGAAGACCATCAGAAGCAATCTGAACGTGATCGACAACGACTACCAAGGGGAGACAGATCTGGAGGACATGGAGGGCGACGAGGACATTGAACCGACCATCTACGTCGCGCTGAGATCGGACATCCTGAACGAGTTCGGCGGCGAGATGATCACGACCAAGGAGGGCGACGGACCGTTCTCTGTGGAAGTGCGAAATCGATTGTCGCGCGAACAGGTCTCCGTCGACAAGGGGGATGCTGAGGAAGTGCCGGATATGCCCAACACTGACAGCGAAGACATGGAAGCGTCCGAGGACGAAGCCAAGCTGGACGAGGCAGCCGCCTGCAGTCACATATACGACGATATGTATGAGGATATCTTGGCTGCGTCCCAAATTGTCATGACCAATAAAATGGAGAACACACTGCACGTACCGGATACGGTCGACGATGTTGTCAGTGATTGTCATACCGATGTGGAGGACGTCGATTAAACATAATTGTTGTTGAGAAGAAGAAACTCTTTCAAGGAGATTTGAAACAATTATATGAAGCATGTGAAATGATATAATTCTTGGAATCAAGGTCTCGAACAATTTCCACAGTCTCTCCGATTATACATAGCAAGAATTAACGTTCTATTAATAGAATATCGAGATATCATCGTTAGAAATGATTAATGGAATATTGTAAGGAGCTATCGTCCACAACTGTGATTGGATAAAGTCACTGAAAATATCTAATAGGATCTGATATGCTTACACAACTGTTGCAACGAGAGTTGCATAATAATATTTAAATGCTCTTTCTTTTCAATAGGAAGTCTTGAAGATAAACAGAATGTGTTGGAATCTTTTCTGTAAAATTTCTAGCATTCAAGCAGCTATCAAAACCTTCAGAAATATGATCAAGAAAGTGTTATGAGTTAAGCAACATGAAGTTTACAGATAAATTGTATTCGACATTATGACGCTTTTCACATAAAAAAAATCCGGCATATTGTTCTTAAATTAGTTCATTCCTAAATCAGCCTTATGTTAATATCTTTTTCTTATATTTCTTTACCCTTCTTTCGAAAATAATTCTAATTTTTTCGCAGCAAATGTTTTTTTCATGAAGAAATAAAGAAAAATTATTTAAAAACTAGAGTATGTAAAGAAAAGTAACAAACCTTTTTTATTATGTGTTAATAAATATACTATAAATTTTGGAATAAATATACTATATCGTGTAAAGTAATAGGAACGTTTTATTTTCTGAACAATTCCTATATTCGAATACCGTATGTAGTTCGTCGCCGATTTTTACGTTTTCCTTTTTGCACCGTGCCTATTAAATCTTTGATGGGGCGAATGTAATAATTCAAGCAAAATAAAAAAATGACAGAATTAATTCTTTTGAGAAACAATACCATTTGCGTCAAAAAGAAGTGTTCGTCGTTCAAAGAAGTCCGCTTATATAACAATTATAAATATATCGAAAAATTATTCGTCCATTTATGAAAAATCGGTAAACAATACCATGCACGTGGAAACGATTATCGACAAATTAATTCTTATGTTTTTGTCATGAAACCGATAATAACGCAATATATGTGTACTTGTTATACTTGCAGACCGAACTGCCGTCCTCAACATTATCATAGACAACCGTATGGGATATTAATGCAAAAGAGTATGTCTCCGCAGATTAGAGAAATTTTCCGATATAAACACACACATATATACATACATATAATTATAATTATATGATATAATATGTAAATATATACGTACATAGAGTTAAATAATGTTGATGTTTTCTTTTCTTGACAATAGCATTGTTTTCATTCTCCTTTTGTTTAAAATCAAGTCTTTGTACGTGCAAGGACAATATAGAAAAATTTATTTCGTGAATATTTGTAGATTATATATCTTTGGTTGAATACAGCTAAACAAATTTAAATTATATTTTGTATAATAAATTTCTAATAATCTTTACTCTTTCATACATATACCTGAGAAATATACAAGAAATATATGATAAAAATAATAGTCTCATTATCGCACGTGACACGCGCGGTAATATTACATCCAGTATTTGTTATAAGCTGTACTTTACAGTGAATTAAAACCGTTGGATATAAAACAGAAGAAATTTATTTTGCGACATTATACGCGAATCATTGTTATCATATTGTACTTGTCCCAATAAAAAAATTATAAATAACAAAAAATTACATCTATATCTGAAACGTCGGATTTCTTGAGATTTCTCTCAAGTTAATGAACTGATGCTGTTTTGCATTTTGCGGCTTTAATTATGGTTTAATACATCTTGTACCTGCGACGACTGCATAGAAAAAAAAAAGAAAATGAGGAAAATAAGAGAATAAAGGGTTTGCGATACGAAAGTTCTCGATCGCCAGATCTCGCTGAATATATAAAGGAACAATACTGTAAAGATAGAGACACAATGTATCCCAGCTATTATAACGACTTGTGCTTAATAAAAAGTATAATGTGAGCATAATTCTTGGTTGTTCTAGATGCCGCTACTATCCACGAATCCTTTGCACAAAAAGCGGCTTGTCCCCTAGAATCCGTAGATGCTAGTTATCCCAATAAAGTAGGCATCGGTCAATCGGAATCGGATCTATCGCCCGAACTCGAAAAGCAAACGTACTCGGAGAAGCGCAAATTCTGGGAGGATATCTCGAAAAAGCGTGAAAGTTATCAGCGTTCCGAATCTGAGGTCTCGAGGGCCTCCCAATTAACCATCAACGAGAGCGACAGCGAGTCGTGCCTGCCGAACATCGTGTCCGAGGAGGGCGACGGGACGACGGAGGGTATCTCGGACGTGATGAGATCGGAGACCATCGAGGATATCAACCTGCCAGACATCTCGGAGTGCTCGGTGGCGGAGAAGGCGCATTACTTCGAAGAGCAGATACAAAAGGAGATGAAGGAGGCGAAAAGCACGCCGAGGTTGCAGCAACAAGATTCTGTCAAATTCGAAAAGGACAAGATGCCCCTCTTCAAGGGCAAGTCAATCGACGATCAGAAGAATCGCGTAGAAAAGCATGATGTGATAAAAAAGGACATTGATATCGAGGAGAAGCACGTGGCGGAATCGAGGGAGATCGAGAAGATTTTGAAAATTGCTACGGAGGATACCAAGTGGATGAAAGAGACGTGGAAAGAGCCGAAAGATATCGATAAAAGGGAAAAGGATACAGATGAAGATAAAGGCGTACGTGAAGAAGTTCAGAAGATAGTAACTCAGCCAGTGATGGAAATTTGTAAAGAGTTACTGAATAAGGAAAGAGAGCTCGCTGAGGAAACGCAATCGTTGAAGTATGCGGAGGAAGTATTATTGCAAACCGATAAGCCGAAGGACGAAACAATAATACAAAGAGAATTAAGCGAAATTAAAGAAATAAAAAAACCAGAAGAAGTAATAGATGTTAAGACAATCTCGACAGACATGGAAACGAAAGAAGTAAAAATACATCCTGAAGAAATTGTAACAAAACACAAAATAAAAGAAGATACTCTGCAGCGAATTGAAAAAGAAATTGAAGAAGAAATTACAAAACCGATAAAGACGCTCCAGGAAGATATTCACATTTCGGATACAACGCCAGATATCTCAACATACACCGCGGGAATCACTGCGGTTACAGAAGAGATCAAAAAACCAGATGTATCCACGGATGTCATTCAAGAAATTGTAGAAGAGCCAAAACCGGAAACACCACTAAGCAAAGAGATCGTTAAGGAGAAGACGTCCGGAAGGCGAATAATAACAGAGGAAACAACAATCATCTATACAGTGCAAAAAGATGGAACTCTGGTACAGGAACAGGTCCTTAAATCAGTGCAAATTCAAGGCGGGAACGGCAAACAGGTTACACACATCCCGGAAGTTAGTATGGAAACAAAAATGTTTGAGAGTTTACCGGATACAGATGACATTGAAAAATTACGAACAGATAAGATCGAAGAAAAAGAAGATAAAACACTTGAAGAAAAATTATCGATCAAGGAAGAAGCATCTGAAGCATTGCAGAAAGTGGAAGAGATAATTGCTAAACAAGTGGCTGACATTAATCTTGAGAAAGAGATGAAACCTACCGTTGACATGGAGATTAAACAGATGAAAAAAGAGTCTCGCATTCCGATTTCTACATCAATGGCCGAGAAGGATAAGAGTCAGAAAGAAGCAAAAGGTAAAACGTCATCGGATAAACCCGAGGAAAGATCGGTAAAGAGTCCGATCGCGGAGGGGGAGAAAGACGTTTCACCGTCTAGCAAGAAAAAGGAGTTTGAGTCTCGCATACCTAAACGCATTGTAGAGGGAGCAACGATAAAGGAAAAGGACACGAAGAAGGATTTGCCGGGACAAAAGGATGGCGAGACTATCACAGTTACCGAGAAAAAATCTAGTGAGGAGGTCACTTCGCGGCATGAGGAATGCTCGACCACGAAGAGCAAGACACAAACGTTTTCCAAGACCTTCACTGATCCGCAGGATGCATCCAAGATGTTCGAGAATATAAGTGCCATGAAGAACAAGAATTTTGCTATGGTCACTTCGAAGATCGACACCAAGGCTACAAGTAAGGTGGAAAAGAAAGAGGTACTTTCGTCAGAGATCTTCAGCGGAGCGGATAAATTCATAACTCACGAGGAGAAGGAGAAAGTGGAAAAGAAAAAATCCTCGGAATCTAAGCTGACTAAGGAGTCACCGGCTGAAACGATAGAGGAGAAGAAAAGTAAGAGTGAGGAGGTGGACAAAATCGCTGTGCAGAAAATGTCGATGAACGTGACGGAAGGTAAGGAAGTGATAGATGCCAGCGCTTCTGAGTCCAGAGCGGAGAGTAAGAAAGAAGAATTGTTCAAACTGTTGGAGGACCAAGAGGGAATTGCGACGGAGAAATCTGGAACTAGTAGGATTAGAGAAAGCGACGTAGATGTGGCAATCAGAATTAAAAAAGACGATACAAAGGAAGTGGAGAATATTAAGGAGTCACCACAAGCTGCTAAAGACGAAAAAATAGGGAAAGTTGAAATGATTGCGCAAGGACAATCTTACAAAGAGAATTTGGAGAGTTTTAAAGTTGAGGAGTTTGTACCTAGCCAAAAATACAAGGCAAATTCGAATGAAAAAGCTGAAGAAGACAAACAACCTCAGAGTAAAAAAATTCCGGAATCTTTGGAAGAGAAAGAAAAATTGATTGCTAAGGAAATGGAAGCGCGGAATATAGCTGAGAATTTGATACAGTCAATTGAGAGCGAGATTGAAAGAAGATCATCGATATCGGGATTAAAGCCTCAAATGTTGAATAGAGAATATCTCGATCAATTGATTTCCGAGAGTACAGATGCTGATCACGAGAAACTGGCCAATGACTTGACAAAAAAATTTGAAAGTATAATAAAAAAGTCTTTGGACGAACAACTTCCAGAAAGCAAAGTGGATCATCCAATTACGGACGCAGCGCTGTCGAAAACATCCATACAAGAAGAAATATTCGAGAAAGGATCTACTAGAGACAGTATAAGTATTAGCGAGGATATAACAAAGGATGAAGAATCATCGCCGCATGATCGAGAAGAGAGCTTGCCGTCTTCGCAAGCTAAACTCCAAGATAGAGACATCACTATGAGTCCCAGCAGTATATCCGAGCAGATCGAACTCGAAGAGACTATCGACGTCGACACTGGAGAACTGGAGGACTTGTCTAAACCTACGTCTAGTCCGCAATCTGAAAAACTTCGTTCCGACAGATCAAGTGGTCATATCGAACCGCTTCAGAGAGACGTATATAGCGATACCACTCTCTCGAAAGATAAGATGGTGTCGGAAATCTCGGGCGCTAGGGTGTTAGAGATCCTGGAGCCGGGCGTTGACAGCCGTCAGGATTCGGTCGATATGCCATCTTTGGAGCTGGACGAGCACAAAGTGTCCGAACAGACTAGCAGGGATGTAGCATCTTTGCACGAGAGCGTGGCAGTGGATTCCTTGGAGAGAATCGCACGGGAGAGGGACGCGACTGTTAGTTCTAGCACAGTGTCCGAAGACGTCAATGTGGACTATCCTCCGATCCACGAGCATGTATCTTCCGCAACTATTTCGTCGAGAGAGTACGACGCAGGGGATAGACGAAGAGATAGTTTCGAAATTGAAAGCCCGCCGTTGGTTTCGCCAAGAACAAAGCTCGTGCACGATCTGGAAATCAAGCCAGTCAACTGGATGATCGGCGATGAAAAGATCGAGATATCGGAAACTTTGCAGCCTTCTCAGGTATTCAATCAGGAGTTGGAAGAATACGAGTCGTCTATACGATGTGCTCGCGCTTCCTCTCAGGACGAGTCCGTGGATTTAGAGCAAGAGTCCGTGACCAAATCTTTGGAGGATATCAGTGTGATCGAATCTGTTAAAGAATCCGTTACCAGTAGTGATGTTAATGTGACCATCACAACTACCACGACCAAGACCACAAAGTTTACCGTGATCCCAGTGACCGAGCCGGTGATTGAGTCGATAACCGATCCGGTGATCGAGTCGATGACCGAGCTGGACTTTGACAGCGAACTGATAGAAGATAAGTTAGATATCACTTGTCAAGAGTTGGTCGATACCCTGCAACGAGAATATGACGCTAAGACACCGACCGAGGAAGACGCAGTTGGTATACGTCAATCTATATCTCGCGAGAATTTTGACTTGGAAACGAGTATTACCGAAGCTGTCACGGAAGAGATACCTATGAAAGAAGAGGAAACAAAAGAATTAACTGAATATGTATCTGCTAAAATTGCGGAGATTAAACTTCAAGAGGCACATACAGAAGCTCATCAACAAGACATTTTTGCGGTACAAGTGGAAACTGCCGAGCTTAGTGACGCTGGTAAAGTGTCTACGATAAAGAAAGAAATAGATGATTCCGCTCGGCATATCGTAGCTGAAGAAGCACAGAAACAGCAGAACATTGAGTCTGCAGATAAAAAAGTAGAAGAATCGGAAGTTAAAGAAGAAATAAAAACAACTGTGGAAACTGAGAAAGATTCCAAAAAACAGGAACTATCAAAATGTGCGAGAGTTGACGACGTACTGAAAGAATGGACGGAAACTTATCTGACGAAGATCAAACCTCCTAGCGAGGAGTATAAACGACATATGGAAAAGACCACTGATAAACACGATAAACCCAGCAAATCGACGACGCTTCCCTCCGATACTTGTGCCTTGAAAATAAAGAAAGACGATCTACAGAATGTCGATCTAAGTGCGCGGTACGCAATAACGGTGCTGGATCAAGTAGTAAAGAAAGAGATCGCCGAGGTAAAGGAGTCCTTGGAAGCGGCTAGGCAGGATTTGATAGAGGAGCTGAGTGAAAACAGCCAGACTGTGATTCAGATCAAAGATTCGCCTTCAGAATTTCAGTTCAAACTCCAGCCGGAATCAATTCCGAATGATTTACCGTTTTTGTACAAACCACCGTCCATTGAACACGTTCCTGCGGAAGCTGAACCGGAAGCCGAGACTAAAACTACTACACAGAGCGAATTGTTAATCATAAAAACTCGAGAACTCGAGGAGGCAAAACAGGAAAAAACGAGAGACACTATAGATGACATATCCATCGTTCAAGCAGCCGCAATCGCCGAGGATAAATCAGCCACTGTGGTCAAAGCACCTGAAATTGATATCGAGAAGCACGAAGAAAAGGAGACCGTAATAACCGTTCAAGATGACCAACAGGAGGATGAAGAGGAAGGTCGTCCCAGCCCACTTCCTATTAGCAGATCATCGGACATTAGCTCGGACATCGATAACAGAGATGATAGCTATTCTTTGACGCCTCATCCGGTACCCAGAAGACGTCATAAACCGGCCAGAATATCAAAGAGAGTAAAAACTTCTGAGAGCGAAGCTGACATTGGTTCGAGTTCTGGCGAAAGCAGCAACTATCAATCCTGCGAGTACGAGAGTGGAAGTAGACCTAGTTCGTCCGACGTCGAGGCGATGCAATCCGCCGCGGGTGGCGTGCAATCCGGGACCGCTTCGGAGTACGAGACGGCGATGATGTCAATTGAGCACGAAAGCTCAAGGACGTTACCGACATCGCAAGAGTACCAGACCGCGGTGAGTTCAATGAGCTCCCGCGAATCTATGTTATATTTGAATTCCCTTAGCTCAGGTCATCTCGGTAGTATCGATAGCACCAGCGAGTTGTCAGAGACGCTGGTACCATCCGAGGAAGCAGACGACGACGGGGAAGAGATAGATGAGAACCTGGAGAGCGCACTAGATGCGGAGCAAGAACTGGTCGAGGCATCGGATTCTTCCGGTAGCGAAGAGATACCGATGGACGAAACTGTGGACAAGATCGACAGTCATATACCGTGTCGCATGAAGCGCTCATCCGAGATGATCTTCCAACAAATCATGGATGATAATGTCAGTTTGGAAGCGGAGTCTATGGACGAGGTATTGGAGGAGAATCAGGCTAAAGTCGCGGACTCGGCCACATCCACTTCTATGGAAGCGCCCGGTGCTCTTCAGTCGGTTGACATAATGACGTCACGAGTATCCGAAGATGGAATTCAAAGCGTGTGCACACAGGTAATCTCGACGAGAGTCACCAGGCCCAGTGATAGCGAAGAGCTCGAGGATTCGGAAGGTTTGGAAGAGGAGGAAGATTTGGAGGCGGAGAAAGACATAGAAATAACGGACATGGAAAATCTGAAACAGAGATTAGACTTGGAAGAAACTGCCGGGGACGAAAGTGTCGAACCGGCGATGCAGACAACATCCGTCCACTCGATGCTGCAACAGGCTAGCATGTCTCTCTCTTCGGCATCGGGAATGTCTTTCGACACAGTCATAGAGAAAGATAGATCCGAGCGTCACTCGCCAGACAGCGATTCGTTCGAGCTCGTAGATAAGCCCGACATTATCGACGATTTCGTGGTGATCGAAGAGGTAGGACGAGAGGCAGAAGAGTTCGACTCCGAGGGCAAGAGTATTCGTATTAGCTCGATACCTCAGACGTCCGGCAAACAATATGATCGTGATCTAGAAAATCTGATGACGGAAGACAAAGAGGAACAGGTATCGACGAGTCAGGCTTCCAAGAACAACGATCTCTTCGACTTCGACACCGAGGAGAGTCCACCCCAGGCGTCCAACGACGATCAATCCCAGTCCTACTCTGACGATGAGCAGTACGAGGGCAAAAAGTGGATAGAGATGCAGTTCCAGGCGGACGTGCGGGTCTACGACATCGAGTACGATCGCGGACCGCTCGAGGATATCAAGGAGGAGGAGGTCACGGATTTCGAAGCTGGCAGTAGCAGGATAGGCAGTTTAGGCAGCCACAAAGAGTCTATAGGCAGCGTGGGAAGTATGCGCGGCAGCTTCGGCAGCACACCGGATTACGACATCCTCGGGAAAAAGTACTTTAACAAATCCGTGGATCACGACACCGCGTCCTTGACCTCACTGCAGGAGTTCGAGCACTTGGAGAGTACCGTAGCGTCCGAGAACTCACGAAGACTTCAATGCGGCTCGCAGGATTCCGTCAACAATGGCAGTCTTCCGAGAAGATACATGACTGGTCGCTCGGGTCACGGCGACGATATCTCGTTATCCTCGTTAAAGGATTTCGAAGGCCTTGAAAAAGCCTGCCGGGAGGCTCATCTGATGGAACTGCGAGCCCGCGAGGAGGAGGAACTGCTAGAACACGAGAGTCCGGAGAACAAGTTTAAAATGGAGAATCTGCCGCGTTCGAGGACGGACACCAGCGCGACCGGTTCGTTCAATCCTAGCACTTCCGGATCGGACGATTATGAGAAGAGGATAAAGGAAATCGACGAGATAATACGAATCGCGCAGTCCAACGTGGAGAAGCTCGATCGGCAGGACGACACTACGGAGGACATCTCGCAGATCGAGATCACCGATGCCGAAAGAGTCATCGGGACCCAACCGGTTCCGGAAACACTTCCAGAGGAGATGGAAGAATCCGATGAGACACGAGCGATACAGAGGGAGAGCAATGTCATGGAGACCAGTACGGATTCTTTAGAACTGGAAGAAAACGCGGAAAAGAAATACCATCCGTTGTGTCGAAGCTCCGATTCCCTCGAGATGAAGACGACCTTGGACTTTCCGTCCCTGAGCTCGGACTCGTTGAACAACGTGAAAGATGCGAAGGAAACGCCGTCGGACGCTGCCGGACAATTTGCTGGCAGTGCGAGACGCATCTCCTCAGATTCTCTTGAAATGCCTTTGTTGGAGCAACAGGATGTTGGAGCGTCCGAGAGAAGCAGCGACAGCAACGGCCATCGCGTGGAGGAGGAAACGGTGGCCGACAGCTCTATCAGACAAGCACCTTCGGCGGAAACTGATGCGAGAAATGGCAAAACGAAAACGTTATCAAGTAGCGGTACATAGGATAATTCTCGTAGGTAAGATGAGAAATAATGATTTAATCTGATATTTTAGTGTCTAGTATAAAAATAAATGCCTAAATTATATTTTTTTCATTGAACTAATTTTAGTTTTTTCTTTACTTTAGTATAAAAAAGAATTATACTTGTTTATGTGCTTATTTACATAATATGGTCTCTCTCCCCTTCCTCACAATACTATTCCAAAGGTCTTTAAAAAAATTTATTACAAAGATTGATTAAACGATATGATTTTCAAGGCTAATGTAATATATTAAATAAAAAAGATATAAAACATCCTGTCAGAATTAAAAGAAATTCGCAAATGATGCAATTTAATAAATAATAATAGAAAAAAGGTCTAATTACTTTTGTTCAATCAATATTCCAATAAATAAATATGGTGTAAAAAATGTAAAAGATAAATAGAATATAAAATATAAAAAGTATGATTATTTGTGCGACATTAATCTTATCCTTGAAATGATCCATGCTAATAAATTGTAATGTGAACTAATGTAAAACCAATAAGTTAATATAATATAATATATCAAGCTTATTCTAGATCGCTATTATCAATAAATTTATTATATTTTATTTCTTTTTACAGATAGCGGACCACCAGGAAGGACTTTTACCACAACTTCATAAATATATTATCGAATAACTCGAGAAGCTTTACATGTAAAACGATATTAAATATTGTATAATGTACTAAAGAACTTGTGCATTGTGGATATACAAGGATATCATTACATTTGTCTTTGTTTTACGCGATGTCTTCTAAAAAACAATTTATATTATGCTTAAATTAAAAGATAGTTGCTATCTTCAAGATATAATATTGACTACGTTTACACATCACCCCTAATCGAGTTTAATAATATCCGTAGTTTTAAGGCTGGCCAGTCATAGTCATTTCATTCTTCAGAGGAATAGCTGTGATTGGCGAGTTTTATAACTATGGATGTTATTAAACCCGATTCATGGTGATGAACGTAATCATTGTTGAGTGCGCGGGATAAGAAAGCGGAGTGTAGAGTGTGGGCTTACTTGTTTTTAATTATTAAATTTGAACGGACGTTTGTTGTAAGAATTCTTGCTGTTTATAAAAGAAAATGCGAACTATCTTTTGCTTAACTATTTTCGAAATCTTTACCGCGAATATTGAGTTGCATTTATCGAACGTATATTTTCAAGTGCTACTTATACATGTTCTATGCATGTATTATAATGCGTACAACATTCTACTATTGTAACGTGTTTTATAACGTGTTTTGATTACGAGATGTCTTTGTAGATGCGCTTTTTCGTAAAATTTTATAATATATTTGATGTACTCTTTGTAATAATTTCAAACGACATTTTTGCGAAGTTCAAAAATACAATAAAGCTAGCTGTAGCGCATGTTTACATAAAGGAGAACAGATACATATATTATATCTAAATAGAAAATTTTATATGCGAATATAATATTTGGGACACATGTAACATTTTACGGAAGGCAGCAAAAGATACATACATTTCTGTTTAAACGATTCAATAATTGTTTCATATTTGTTTGTATTTTTTTTATGATATAAACGCAGAATTACACAATGTTATCAATTATGTTTACACATGTATTGTATATTATTACGAGTTAATAATGTCAATTGAAAAAAAATTGTTTCCTTATAACGATAAAATATACATCTGTGCACTATCCGAGATCTATAGATGAACATTTATTTGCCTAAACTTCGATTCACATGATGGGTACGAAAAAACAAACGTTTATTATGTCAAGAATATTTAAATATGCAACGCTTCAATACTGTTATCACCATAGACATATAAAATATGTATATATAAAATATATATATATATGTAATACACATATATCTATACATATATCTACATGTTTTATTTGTCTATATGGTTATCATGCGCAGATTTTCAATCTTCAACAACACATACGTTTACATAAAAAAAGGTAAAAAAATAAATTTAAAAAATAAAAAGTAAATTCTATATATGAAATAAGGTATCCAAATCAGAAGTAGAGAAAACCCATATGCGTAATACGTCAAATAATCGATTAAATTATTAAGATTTATCTCGTGCGTGAAGTGTACATAAGTCATGCAGCGTACAAGTTCAATGATACCAGGATATATAAATGCACGCTTATCAAATAACAAACCGATGCTGATGAGAGCGACTAAGTTGTTTCCCAATTTTATCCAAAGAAAATCGTCTAAAATATCTAAATTCTGAAAATAAAATTGAAATCAGTGACAGTAAGTTTTTGTTAGTGTGCCTGACTCCGATTAGTATATCATATCAGTATCATATGAAATTATAATGAATTTTCAAGAATGTTTAATTTCAACTTACATAACAAAAAATCACAATATTTCAAATTAATTTTATATACAGGGTGGCCTCGAACGTTCCAGCCAGACTTTGAGATCTCATAGGAAATTTAATTCTGAACAAAAAATTTCCTATAAAAACATTGGTCGAAAAATGCTTTCTTAAGAAGTTATCGCTCCAAAACCTCTGAAATCGTAAAGCGACTAGATCGGTCATTACTCGATGCCGAAAGTGTATTGGAGCTAGGGGAGGACATTTTGAGAACAGTTAGTTTTTTCATGTCTTTATTCATTTTCTACTATTACGTGCTATTTTAGTTTAAAAAAGTTTATTTTATTTTCATAAAAGAAGAACATTTTTATTTTTTATTTTTATCGTTTTTTCAAGAAATTTATTAAGTTTCATTTTCTTTTTATTTCATTTTCTTTTCACCTTTTGCTCTTTCTTTGCATCAGAGGTTTTTGAGCGATAACTTCTTAAGGAAGCATTTTTCGACCCATGTTTATAGGAAATTTTTTTTTAGAACTAAATTTCCTATAAGATCTCAAAGTCTGGCTGGAACGTTCGGGGCCACCCTGTATACAATAATATACATGTAATTAAACTTATGAAAATCTTAATGTGTTTAATCCGATATATTATTAAAATCATCTTGAATAAAGAAACTGTTATCATGTTGACTGTTATCATATTGAAAAAAAGATAGATAAATCGTTGTAAAATAATACTACTATTCAAGTTACATTTTGATGATACAAAACAGCTAATCTACCCGGTATACCAAGATGGAAGAAGGTAAGAATTATTTATACGTTTTTTAAATATATATCTTTACAAAAAATAAAAAATTATGTATTATACGCACGCACATATTTATGTAGTCTTTACAATTATATTCTTTACAAAATAATTTTTGAGCTACAAAATAGAAAATTATACGAGATCGTCCGGTCTTCACTAAAAATAGTTTCTTCAACAATATAAATAGCTGATCTATTCGTAAAACGATTCTAAGTAGAATCTAATAGAATCTAATAGAATCGTAAACGATTTTATGTATAAACTTTAATGTAAAGATGTGTTAAGCTTAAAATCTGAATAGTGTTAATTAAATATTATACAATAATATCATTATTATATAAATCTAAAAGATTAAAAATACTATAAATTGGAAGTTATCCAATAATTTTTATGGTGTTTAAAATTTCTTTTACTATATCTGACATTTAATTTAGGCAAGAAACTTATATTTATATTATTATATTATAAATTCGAATATACACATAATTCATTCGTCTAAATTAATATGTTTCAAAGTAAAATCTTTCAATAGTACTCATTAGTTTATATAAAAATTGTTTTTAAGATTTATTATGTTAAAGTATGCGATATCGTTCGTAAACTCTTCGTTATGTCGAAAATTTAACAGCAAATGGAATAAGAGCTCACCTCGTTATATAATTGAAGATGAGTAAGAAAAATCGTCAAAAATTGCACTGTTATATATAATTTTTGCCACTCTGATATCTGAGGATCGTACACGGCTCTAGGCTTTACCTAAAAAATGTAAGATAAGGGAGCAGTATCTTATATATTGAAATTTTTATCGATTTAAAGTCTGATGTTGATTATCAAGCATCGCTTGTATATAACACATGCGATATATTTTTATTTTACTTTATATATGTTAAATACCGTTTTACATATACATACACGTAGATTATCTCTTACTTTTATTTTAAATTCGTCTAAACCTAAACGAGGTGCACCTGGAAACCAGCTAGGACCTTTCCAAACGACGGCGAGCTTATCGGCCCAGGTAATCATATTTATACTTTTTTTAATTAAATCCTTCAAATAGAATACCTATGATATTGCAAAAAAAAAAGATAAATTATATGAATAGGAACAATCTTTAAATTAAAATATGAATTTATTTTTATCATTTTCCTTTTTAAATATTAATTTTGCTTTTCAGTTTTTTTTTATTTATTAATAAACTGCAATAATCGCAGCGAATATGCAAAGTATATAAAAATTTTAATTAAATTTTTATTAAAAATCTTATTACACACTTTATATTGTATACATAAAATAACTCATTTTTTTTTTAAGTATTATTTATCCAGGGTACATTGATTATATATGATGTAAAATATCTCATTGCCAAAAAATTCTACCTGCAGATAAAATGAGTTGAATGATTCAGCATTTACCACCAAACCATAAATTATCTCTTCTTTATGATCTTCCTTTTGAAACGTACCGAACAAACGATCCCATATGATGAGCACGCCACCATAATTCTTATCCAAGCAATAAAGATTGCAACCTATAAATGCAAAAATGTACGCGTTTGTAAGACAAGTTACGCGAAAAAATACAGTCGCTAAGTAGTTAAGTGTCTAATTTACCATGATGAACGCGATGATGCTTAGGTGTATTAAGAATCCACTCAAATGGTCCGAGGTTACCAATGAGTGTTGTATGAATCCACAATTGATATATCAAGTTGAGTTGAATGTGGACCATAAAGTGCGACGGAGTTATAAAGAAGGCGAGGGGTAAATAGATTACCTGCAAAAAAATTTACATTAAAGCGTAAACATACATAAGATGTTTTTAAAATTATTTTTAAAATAATAAATTATTATTTATTTATTTATTTACATATCATTAATAAAAAATAGTTTATTTTATATTTTCTAACAAACAAAAAGCGGGGGTATGGAGCAATTAGCAATTTGTGTGATAATACCTCATATAATTACATTAGTATGACATAAACTTGTGAGTTGACAAACTAACGATATAATAATTTAGAAATCGTGATTAACATAAAATACAATAAAAAATACATAATAAATAATAAACTACAATAAATATAAAGATGTTGACGAGGTAAAAAGCATTTGATATTTTCTAATTTTAATTTAAAAAGTACTTCATATATATAAAAAAACTTTTTTAAATAAATAAAATTTGCAAACACAGAGGCTCTTTTATTATCACAATAGTAAAAAATATTCTTATTTTTAATTCTTATTTTTAATGAATGTTAATTAATCTTAGCGATTGGGAGAAAATTTTTTTTTCATGGTTAAAGTTTGCACCCGTTAAAAAGAGTTTTCAAAGTAATACTAACAAAGTTACACCAATTTTGTAGAATGGATTGTCGCAGACCGACCGCGAAATTGAACTCCTCGCTACTGTGATGCACCTGATGAAGGGCCCATAAAAAGTGGATTTCTGCAAAAAAAGCGACGTTACGTTAGCACGTTAAATTATCGAAGATCAAGAATAATATAGAGACGTCAATGAATGGCGCGAATGGCGAATGCTAGGAATTTAACCATGATTACTGCGATGAGCCCAATAGTAACAAAAGTCCACAGCAATGAAGGAAATATACCATGTCCACAGTGAACCCCAGGCTAGCAGATTCCATCCTCTGCCAAACCTCTCATAAATGATGATGTATGCATAGTATTCGGCACCATGTGAAAAGACTCTACGAAACCAACAAGTGCATTCTTTCGAAAATTGTTAAACAAAGCATTATATATTACGTTTATGTTTCATATTCATCATTTTTATTATTATCTACCATCACTATTATTGTCTATATATATGCTTGTTATATTATAAAATTTAGTCATCTTTTTTTTTATATGCTTGTAAAACGAATAAAGTTATACTTATGTTATCTATAAAATAATAACATGTTTATTTAAACATTTTTTTTTTAATAAAAAGGAGATGGAATATTGACAATTATTTTTCCCAGTTTTAAGTTGACTTATTTTGAAAAGAAGCATTTAATACGATATTAAAGAATTATTTGTGCCTCGAGTGTATCTTTTTTTTCATAATATAAAGTTGTATTATTTATATTTAATACATTTTTATATATTTATTCATATAACAAAGAAAAAATTGTTACCTACCGAATAGTTTCGTGGAGTATCCACTGAGATAGCGACGTAACTTGATCATTCAAACGAAACCTTTTTCGCAATATTAATTGTTCCAGAATTAGCAGGAAAAAAAACGGTAGCCATATCTATAAATATGAAAAGTTTTTACAGGAAATTAAACTTTACTAGCATCGTTTTATGTACCAATGTACTCTCGAAGGAGGTCTCGACAAAAATAGCGCGCATACTGACGATTCGAGTAACTCGACGCGTTCATAATAAGTAATAAGTCAGCTGCGCATTTACATTAACGGATTTCCCCGATGCATTTGACACGATTTATGCTATTTTTGTATAAATTACATCAAATAAATTTTGAAGAAAAATCTTGCAGATTTGGGTCGAACGCTGGTGAAAGAATGAAATCAATTGAAACTGAAACCATATATACTGAAGCACAAGCAAATTTTCTTTTTATTTAGATTATTATTAATTTTGTTAAATAAATAGAAAATAATTGAATAAATATTTTATAAAATTATTTGAAATTGAAATCGTTCCCGAAATCGTTCGTTGCTCTCTCTAGGGTAAAATGTCAAACAGTTTACAAATATTGATATAGGTCATATTCATACAAACTTGTCGCATATAAATAAATACTAAATCATCAATTAATGATTATTTCTACATGATAATATAAAGTAAGATATAATTACAGTTTATATATATTATTTTAAATCACATATATATTATGTAGAAAGAATAGTACAGAAGACGCATTTTATCACTTTTATCAATTATTCTGTAATTATAATTTGATACCTTTAATATTAGAAATAAAATTGAAACAGTTTATATTTAATTTATAGCTAATATTATTTTTAGCACAAGCATTTAATATAAATATTACACAATATTATATTAGTAAAATACTATCTATATTTTTATCAGAATTAAATTATCTTTCAAATCAATCAAACATTGATTGATTTGTACGCACTAACATTATGCAATTTATGGCATTATGCGACATGAAAGAAAGAGAATGTCATTTAACATAGTAAAAGAAAATTTTACGAATATAAAAATTTTCTTATATTCTTATTTTGCTTTTATATTGACGACAATTACCTGTTTATGATAATCCGGTACCTCTTGTGGGAACTCGAATGTCATCTCTTTAAGAACAAGATACCAGAATTTTTCGATGTATTTTGAAACAGATTCGGCGATCTTAGCGAGCAAACTGATGAGTATTTCGTTCATATCGCACACTCGTAATACGCATTAATCACAAGTCGACAAAAATATCTTAATAATTTTTCAGAAGCATCTTAGGTAAAAAGGCAACGACTCAGGCAATACGCAGCGCCGGTTTAATCGCGCGTGCCATGCTCATGTTGTTTATATACTAAGCCGCGCTAGACAAGCACATACGCAAATAAATCATGTACTTAAAATCGCGATGTGTTTATAAATTCGCAAATGTAAGATCCTTCAACAATACATTTAAATTGAACTAACGGCTCAATTTTTCGTTATTAGGTAATACGATTTAATAAGAAATATATAAATATCTGAAGAAAGATGAAAAGCGATATCTTCGTATTAGTCTACTTTGAGAAAAATTCTAAACTAGAAAACTCCGAAAGAGAGACAATTATGTTCAAAAAATTAAATTTTAAAGAGTTAATTCTGCAAAACTAAGCTTTGAATTAATACTGATTCAAAAGCATTAGATTTTTTTCAAAAATAAACATTTAAAAATATATAAAATTGTTTATATTATAAGATATTTAATGATAAAATTTAATAACTTGTAAAAAAATCACCATCTTTAATTGCATTTGAAAAAAAAACTATAAAAATGCTATCTCTATTCAAGGAGATTATTTTTGATATCTTATCTATTCGGAATTAGATTACTTCAACACTAAAGAAGTAGCTGTTATAAATTACGTAAATAAATAGAAAATATTTCAGATTTTACGGATAAATTCTAGGGAAGTACAGGAATATCTAAGAAACATTTATTTTTGTTTTAAATATCTCTATAAGCTCTCAAATTTTATTCCTTAAAATAGAAAATATTCTTGATAATAAAATTAGTAGATTGTGTGTACGTAAATAGAAAAGAAATGATAAACAAGAACACATTGATTTAGTACAATTATAAATTTTCTTCGGGGAACTCTCACTTTTTCTCATCAAGTATTTACGGTATCATTTAGATAATATAGTGATTAGAATCGGCATACTGACTGCAATTATCAAGCAGAAAATATCGGCATATGTATATAAAAGACAATGGTTACAGATAACATAAGGTAGGAAAGACAACATTTAATTATATAACGCAAAATTGCACCAAAAAATCATCTTCTTGTGTTCTTATATTCAAATAAATTTTCGTGTACGACACTTTTCGCTAGATGCACAATACTGAGATACACGACATGAGAGATCTGTAATCGAATATGTAATTGAAGGCAGCAGCTGTACAATCAACGGGTTTCCCCTTCCTTTGGTATTCTCCGTGATAAGAGATTTTACGGAACGCCTGTTTTCGTGCGCGATCAAATCGCACAAAGTCCGAGTCGTTTCACAATCGTTTCGCGAATTGAAATGTAAAGAATTTATTATTTACCGTAAACATTTATGGAAACTTTCCTTCATACAAAAGATAGATGCATTAAACCGAGAATATGTTTCTATGAAACTGAATATCAACTTTCTTTTAAGTGGGATATTAATTTTAAAATATAAATTTTGAATAAGTCGTTTCTCTCAAATTTCTTTGATTATTTCTATAGTAACACAAAATGAATAAATAAGCTTACAGAGAATAGAAGAATACTAATCGCGTAATTATATTTTGCGCATTTTACCTGATTTTAAATCTTTTGAACTGTTCCGATATGTTTTCAAATCTAAAAGATTCAAGCAATTAAATGTTCGAGTTACAAATTTGTTCGAACTGTTTGAACCGTTCGACCACCGGATAATGATGTAATGACAGAATTAACGATTCACGATTGCGATCGATACAAATGCAATTATAATCAATGGCGATTAAGTTATTAAATACAAATGAGATCTACATCAATAAGAACTATATGCATACTCGTTCTATGAATACATTTTCAGAGAATTTATATAGACAGAGAATTTATGTAGATAGAGATATTATATATAGGGGAAAGTAGGGTAAAGCCGGGTACTTTTTCGGATTTGTCTTCCTACAAAAATCAGACAGTAAAAAAAGTTTTGCTGATCATTAGTAGTCTTTAGTGGACCTCAAACTATGAGAAAATGAGGCTAGTTGTTAAAAAAAAAATTTGGTTATCGAAGATAACAAGATTTTTTGGAGAAGTCAAAATACCCGGTTTTGCCCTACCGGTAGAGTAAAACCGGATACCCATTTGAAAACATGTAAAACACCGTGCAATGACAAAATCTAGATTTATTTTAATCAAAATACAATATAAAGATGTATTCTATTGACAGAAATCACAAATAAAGATATCCTCTTGTTCCACATTGCTGCAGGACTTCCTTATTTAATTTTTTAACTTTAGGGGTTTCAAAAAACTTTTTTTTTTAGTAGTTTCTTTTTCTGAGTGGTAGTTTTTGTTTCTAACTGCTTTTTATAGGGAGACAAAGTCAGAATAATAGTTCTTCCTCTTTTCATTACATGAGATGTGTAGGTACCCGGTTTTGCCCCAATACAAGGAAAGTAACAAACACGACAGTTGTATATTTCGGTGTACAAAGTGACGATCACAACTAGTGTAGATATACGAGGACTGACAATTAAGTTCGTAGAAAATATTTATTACAATTACAGAACACATTTATTCGTTATCTAATACATGGTCCCTTTTAAAATAGTTCCTAAAGCAATGCACTTGGTCCAATGTTTTTTCTATTACAGGAAGCAGTCTTCAACATTATTCTCCGTGAGGCTGTTTAGAATACGCGTCAACTATTTCACCTCCGTTCGTGACTCCCAATGACGATCCTTCATATCTTCCTTGATCTTGGGGAATAGAAAAAAATCGGAGGAGGTCAGATCCCCCTGACTTTTTTCTATTTCCCAAAATCAAAAAAGGCATGAAAGATCGTCATTGGGGGTCATGAGCGGAGGTGGAATGGATGACGCGTGTTCTAAATAGCCTCACGGAGAATGATTTTGAAAACTGCTTCCTACAATAGGAAAAACATTGGACCAAGTGCATTGCTTTAAGAAGGGACTATTTTAAAGGGGACCGTGTATTAGATAACGCATAAGTGCGTTCTGTAATTGTAATAAATATTTTCTACGAACTTAATTGTCAGTCCTCGTACTCTCTAATATGTACAGAATGTGCAATGCTGCATTTAGCAGATGCTCTGTGTAGGTGTAGAAAAAGTTTATAATGACTTGATTGTTGTCCCGATATCGATCTTTTTTGGCCCGAAAATTTTGACCTTCTCTCAAAAAAGAAATATCGTGTGCACGTGGACACGGTTTATCTCAAAATAATGTTGGCATCAATCTGCAACTAGTAACACGGGTTAGCCAAAGATAGTAGCACTTATCATGAAAAAATAGAGGTACCCGGTTTGACTCGCATACCCGGTCTTACCCTACTTTCCCCTATATATTAGCGTTTAATTAAATATATTTTTTATCTGTATTTTATATAAGTATGTATAAAGAAATAATTTTTTACAAAGAAGAGAGAAAATGTGAGAGAGAAAGATCCTTAATATACATATATAATTTCATCGCAGAGAAAATATTTAGCATCCATTAAAAATAGCTTGTACGGCAATGGGAGCAACGTAAACAGCTGATCGTGCGATTCTTAGCATAAACTTTAATGAAAAGCGTAGTGCACTTTAGTGCTAAGCGTAAAACATTATATGAATAGCGTATAGTTCACGTCATTATTATTAACACACCAGAGCCAACTGCAAGTTTTCATATTTTGAAACTAATGATCTGAAAGTTTAAAATTTGCACGCGATTCCACGATTAAGTGTTTCTGTGACAAAACGTATATAAACTCAAATATACGTCTTGCTCGTATAAATTAATATTATTTAATTCAAAGCAGGATTTTATTCAGCGCTTATGCATTATTCTAACAGTATTTGCATTGTTAGAAATAATTGAAATACCAATAAAGAGCAAAAGCAAACCATTGTTTTTTTTCTTTGTAATATCTTTCAATATTTTTAACGTTTTTAACGTTATATCAAGATTTTTTAAAATAATAAGATGATTGAAACTCTCTCTTTAAAATTCTACTCTTTTCAAATGTCACTTGATGTTTTCAACTCAGTGAAGAAACATTTTATTTAAGTAAGTAATTATTAAGCACATAGTCTATACGAAAGTTGAACAGCAATGAATTATGTGGAAAACTCATCTTTGTAATATATGATGCAAAATGAAAAGAGCCGTATATAAGCTTTCCCATTCTGGTATAAATAGTTTGTATGACGGTGTCATCTCTGTAAGTTATGAGTGTTTGTTATACTGGAATTTAAAAAAAATAAATTTCTATCTTCTATATCGTTATATTATAGGGTGACACGCAACGAGTGTCCACTAAGTATATACATAGCGTTATTCCTTACCAAAAACTGAATCGAAAAGTCCTAAACCATTTTTTTTATAACGTTTAATAAAGGAGTTATTATTAAGTAAAGTCTGGCCAACCAATGCCGACTTTTAACCGGGCGCACGTCAGTGAGCCGCGCGCCTGGTAGCGTGCGTGATAGTAGCGTTAGTGATGCGGCGCGGCGGCATTATTCCTTCGCGCATGCCGCTAGCATGCAATATTTTTACGCATCATATATATTACGCGTAATAATAGAAACAATTTTTTCTGGTATTAAACATCATATTCATATAAAATATAAAATAACTCAAAAAATACTTAACCCCTTCACTGTCAGTGACGCATATATGCGCAAAAAAAGTCGTGCCACTTTTGCTTTATGACGCATATATGCGCATCTTGAAAAAGAACATATTTATACTATTACGATTTGATTGTGCTTTGGTATTTATATGTTTTTGGGGTCACTGAATCCGAATCTGAAATCAGATTTTTGAAATTTAAAATGGCGGATCCAATATGGCGGACCAAAACGTAAAAAGTTTTTTTTTTTTTAATGATACTCGGGGGTTTTTGAGGTCGCCGAATCCGAATCCAATATCAAATTTTCAAAATTCAAAAAATTCAAAAAGATTACATTTGAATGAAACTCAGTACTCGGAGATTCTAAGGTTACTGACTATGAATTTGAGCTCAAAATTTAGAAATTTAGAATAGCCAATTTAATATTGCGACCTACAAGAGCAAGCCTTTTTTGAATTTTTGAGTTTTGCGTTTGATTCGTAATCAGTGACCAGGGTATGACAACTATTTTTTCGAATTTTCGTGTGCCATAATGGATGCGCCATTTTGAATGTTCAAAATATGGTTTTAGATTTATATTCAGTGACCTCAATAAACCACAAGATACCAATTTTTATAGAAATCCAAGGATTTTTCGAATTTTCATCCGCCATTTTGGATCCGCCGTTTTG